TGTCTTTTATTTTCTGGTATTTACTATTACGGTATTTGCGGTATTTACGGTTTTACGGTTTTACGGTTTTACGGTTTACGTTATTTACGGCAAATAATACGGCACATGCCGTAACCGTATTATTTCTGTTTGGGAATTCCGACGACAAGTATAATGTTGACACAATTAAACATAAAACTGAGGGGAGAGATGGCAGAGAGAATGGGGAGATAAAGAAGAGAATGAAATTATTCTCATTTGTATAGTTACATCATTTACTTTATATACGTTGTTATAGATTTTTTTATAATAAATATTCATTATATTAATTCATAGTTATTTTCATTATGAATACTTGAGCTCGATCAATTAGTTGCGTAGTATGAGTAAGGTGAAATATTCCTTAATTTGATGAAAGAAACAGAAGTTACAAAATATCATGGAGAAAAGAGTAAATGAGATATTTGTGAAATTAATGTGTATGAAGCTCCTGATACTATTGCATTGTAATGTGGTAGAATGTGGTAGCGAATTTATCATCTATGTTACACTTCAAAATAAACAGAGAAATATTTATAATCAAATGAATAAATGATTAGATATTAAAATTTAGTTGATTGAATGAATATTCAATGGGCACAAACAACCATTACATAATATTCATAATGCTCATAATTTTTAAAAAAAAGTTTTAATCTTTAATTCTACTCTTTCTTCTGCTACTAATAAATTTCCCTCTTTATTTTTATTTTTTTATTTTTTTTTTTTGAGAACTGCCTGGTTTTTATTAGTTAGAATTAAGAATATATCAATATAACATTAATAAAATAAATCAGTCGCCCGAAATTAATTTGACGTAAACTTACATGCCTGTTATAAAATTTACAGATTTGCCATAATTTTTATATAGTATTTGTGCAAAACTTGCAATTTTCTGATATTACGACTAAGAATCAGAATAAATCGAATCCGGTCGGATTTTAAAACGATTCAATTCGATTGTTTTGGGTCAACCGAATCATGATTCGAATTCAAAAACTGGATTCGATTCGACCCAAATTGGATTTTAAGTCCAATATTATATTAATATTTTAAAAGTAAATAAATAATTATATTTATAACCAGAATGAGGCAAATTCGATCAAACTTCATTTCAGACAAATAAAAAACTATGTGCTGAATAAGTACTGAATAGATACAGAATGAATACGTAAGGAAAAACATGGATAAATGCACCTTCTCGTACTAGTACTAGTACCTAAAAATATGAAAACGGATGTGAAGCCAGTGCGGAGACATTCTTCCGTGCTAGAATTAGGATTAGTACTAATATTATAATTATATTAGTATTAATATAGTATGATTTCTATACTAGTACATGAAAATGCACTTTAATGCGGAAAAAAATATACTCTCTACCATTTCTGTATGTTTAAGTACGGGGAAGTTCATTTCTCGTATTAGTATGTATTAGTGTGTATTCACCTATATTCCGTGCATAATTTTTTATAGGATAGTAATAGAACGCATAAGAAAATTGCGTTTCAACGAATTACAATTAAATTCACGTTACAACGAAACAAATTCGCTGCATTTATATGCATTGGATAGTATATATTGGATTCGAATTTCATTTATTTGTTTGGAGATTTATATATAAAGAAAACTTGGGGACTTCATTAGTGTTCCCGGTAGTCCAGTGACCTATATTAACATATTAGAAATTTCCCGGCCTAAATTAAAAATCCTTCTTCTTAAGTGAGTCCCAAATGACATCATTTTTGGGGTGGGCGGTCATATCTCCCGCTGTTTTCACATGTGTTTAGCTTTTTTGTGTAAAGTATAAATAATAGTGGGATGTATGACTGTAATAATCTGCTAAGGAATCATGAAAGTGCTATATCATCTGGTCATTCAAACACTTACATATTAATATTTCTTGTTCTTTTTCTATATCAATTGGCAATTACATAAACTAATATCTATAATCATTGCCATATATTATTATTCCTACTTGGAATAATCATGAGAATAAATGCTCGGCATATATATATATATATATATATGCTATTTTTTTATAATTAAATGCTTCAAGGAACATTTTTGGAATTGCATAATGTGAACCCATTAATTATTGAATCAATTGATTTGTTGTTGTTAAGCAACTATTTATTGGAGCAAGTAAGGTAATATTTTTCACCACAATCAAAAATTTTATAGAGTCTTTATTTCAAAAAATTGAATGATAAAAAAAGTCCAATTAAATTAATCAAGTACACATAATATATAATAATTAAATAACAAATCAAGTTATAATATATAATATATAATATATAATTATCATTGCAAGTCTAAAAGATAATTTGTTGCATTTTGTGCATCATAATCGTATTTTTCCAATGCACTAATTGCTTGTTCTCTCGTAAATCCCATATTTAAAAATTGGTTTAATATTTCAGAGTTATTATTATCATCATTACTATTATCATTCTTATTATCATTAATGTTGTTACTATTCTTATCATTGTTATCTTCATCAACAGCTACACCAGTTGGTGAAGATAATTTGATAACTTCCTTTGGAGGTCTAATGGGGGGCATAATTGATGTTTGATTTAAAACTTTTCGTTCATGAAAAGATGAAGGTGCGGAAAGTGACATTTGTCCTAGACCACCACTACTGTTAATATAACTGTTACTATTATTTACAGGACTTAATGATTGATTGGAATAATTATTCTTAGATATTTGCATATAAGCTAAATTCGTTGCTAATTGTTCAGCGATACCACCACCACCAATTTGTTGACCCAATGCAATACCATGATTAGAAGAAGATGGTGATTTTGATAACGGTGGTGATGAAACTGATATGGAATTTCTAATTACTTCCTTTAAAATTGAAATATCATCTTGAATTGGAGTCTTTTGATTATTTTTAGAAAGTTGTTCTTCAAATTCTAAATAATCAAATGGTTTTTTGAAGTTTGTCTACAATAACAATATCAGAATCATTATTATGTAAAATAATTTAGGCTTTAATTCCCCAAAAATCATTAAATTATTCTTTTTTTTACCTCGTCACCATCATCGTCATCACCACTTTTAGATTTCAAACACACCACAACACGATTAGATAAATCATCTGACGCAGATCGTAAATGATTTTTTTGATTTTTATCATTATTTTCTTCACTGCCAAAAATTATACCATTTCCATTCTCTATATGACTAGATCTTCTTTTAGTATTGTTTACCAGTACAGGTGTTAACATTCTTCGGTCAGTATCTAAAAATCCTGGTGCAATTTTTCTTGCTTCCTCTTTTTGTTTTTGTAGTCGTGCTTCCTGGAAAGCTTGAAGTTTTTGTGAGCGTATTTGTGCCAACTTGATGATTTCCTCTCTATACCTTTCAGTTTCTGCAATAACACTACGTTCAAGATTAAAGTCATAATGACCCTAACATAAATTGAAATCATTACTAAAATTTGATTAGCGACTTAAAAAAATTTTTTTTAAAAAAAAAAAATCAAATATTTATTTATAAAGAGTAATACCAATTGAGGTATATCAAGATTGAAATCGGCAGGCAACTTTATCTAAAATAAAAAATAAAAAATAATACAATGGTTTTAATTAAATCCTTTATAGATCTTTAATTTTGCCAAATAAAATAAAAACAACATACTGGTTTCAAGGACATGAATTGAGGAGTTAAAACAAGAGGAACATCTTCAATAGAAGAGTATATTGATGAGATTGACATTTTTTAAAAATTGATTTGAAAAAAAATTTAAATTCCCCCAATTTAAAAATCTTCAAAGACTGTTCGTTCGTATGATATTCTAAAGGGTAATTTTGTATCACATTATCGGATAACCGTGTATTTTTGCGGAAAAGTATATGGGCACCCGTTTACACCCACCATTGATAATTTTCACCTTTTTGATGAGTTCATAACGTTCCCACTTTGATTAATTAACCCCTTTGAGGAATAAAAAATCGCTTCATACTCTTCCATCATTCTCTAGATGGAATGACATTTGACTGCAATTTGACAAATTTTATTCTAAATAACCCACTTCACCAACAAATTCAAATAATTCGTTTCCCTTACTTGATCCATTTCACAACTAAATTTGTTTAATTCGTCTATATAATTCGTCATTTTGTACCATGAATCTTCGTTGCCAAGTTTGATTATCTGTTATTCTTTATTGAATGAAATTGCTAAACTTCTGCCACGAGTGAGATTAACTGAAGCACATTTGGATCCATGCAAAAACTACCTTAATTATTTGCATGTTGAAAATTTAATATTTATAGATTGGAATTTAAAAATGATTTAGAGATTAGGCTTGGTGAATGAATTATGCGGATGAAACTAAAATATAAAAGTGCTAAAATGTCATGATGATTTATTATTTTATTCATTTTTAAAAAATTTAAACAATTCACAATTTAAAGTTTTGAATAAAACCAATTACTATAGTCACTTTTAGATTTTACTTTATCTAAATCATTGGTTGTAATACCTTTTGATTCAATAGCAGGATTATAACCTAATCTTTTTCTGCCATCAACATTATTATTTAATGAAAAAAACTTTGGTTTTTTATAGATGCTGATTACAACAGCACCACCTAAACCAAGATTATGTTGTAATGCATATTTAATATTTGAAACTTGACGATTTGTTGCCCATTCTCGTAATTGCCATACCTAATTATATTGCATTATTATTATTACATGTGGATACTAAATAATATAAATAGATAGATAAATAAATATTTATTTACCAATTCTATACACTGTGCTAATCCAGTTGCACCAACTGGATGTCCTTTTGAAAGCAACCCACCTGATGGGTTTATAACATATTTTCCACCATAAGTTGTGTCACCCGACTCTATTAATTTATGAGATTCTCCAGGTTTACACAATCCTAGAGCATCATAAGTTATAAGCTGTTCTATTATTAATTATAAATATTTATAAATATATTATATATAAAATTTACTATTTATAAATTTACCTCATTTGAAGAAAAGCAATCATGTAATTCAATAACTTGTATATCATTAGGATAAACACCGGATCTTTCATAAATCTTCATTGCGGCAATCTTTGTCATATTGAAGCCAACCAAGTCCATAAAACTTTTAGTGTCTAATAAAGAAGGTGAATCTGTTGACAGAATTTGGTCCACTATTTCAATTGATTGATTTTCTAATTTATTTTTTTTGATAAAAGTTTCTGATGCTAAAATCACTGTAGCTGATCCATCTGATGTTGGGCAACATTGAAGATTTGTTAATGGGCCATAAATTTTTGGTGATGATTTAATTTGTTCTAATGTGTAAATTTTGTTATATTGTGAGTATGGATTTTTTGAACTATTTCATTGAACAAATAAATACATATTATAAATAAATAAATTTATTTGATTAATGATTGATTGATTGATTGATCAATTACCTATGCAAATGGTTTTTTTCACTTATTTTTGCCATGTGATCATAAGTTGCATTATATTTATTACAATATTCTATTCCAGCATTTCCAAATAATTGTGCCATAAGAGGTGAATTGTCCAAGTCTTTAATTCTTGAACTAACTTCAACTGTGTGATCTATGATAAATAAATAAATAAATAAATTAGCTTGTATTAATAAAAAATATTTTTTAAAATAACTACTTTACCAATTGGAAATGTTCTATCTTTGAATATTGAATTCATTGGCCCTATAAATGCACAAATACATTAATAAATAAGTAAACAATTAATTAATTAATTACAATAATTATGAATATCATTTACCAGGTTTCATTTTTTCAAATCCCAAAGCAAGTGCACAATCAATTGATCCACTTTCTATAGCCTTGCATGCCAAATATAATGCTGTAGAACCTGTTGAACAATTATTATTTACATTACTTTTTTTTATTTATTTTATTTTATATAGAAATTATTAAAGAGATACATTAATTGCTATTACTGTTATAATAATAACAATAACAATAATAATATGTTGAAGTTCTACTTTTTATATGTTCTTACATAATTGGAATTTGTGTCATTCCAAGCTGATATAAAGCTCTTTGTCCACATGTGCTATCACCATAAATGTAACCTACATATGCTTGTTGAATATCATCATAAATAATTCCTGCATCTAACAAAGCTTTTACTGTTGATTCAAGTGCCATTTCTTAAAAATATTAATTTATTTAATAAAAAGATCGCATTAATATTAACATCAATCTTGATAAGTCTTTACCTGGATAATCTATTGCACTTCCTGGTTTAATAAATTTAGTCAAACCAACGCCAACAACATAGGCCTTTCTTGATGAAGAATTCATTGTAGAATCCTTTAGTGTAACATTTCATATTAGGGCGCTGACATATATTAGTTAATATTTTAGGGGTGGGTAGCGCAGGTCCTGGTAGCAAAAATAATTTAGGTTACACGTAATATTATAAATAACGTGATCATTATGGTGATACGCGCAAAAACTGTATTATTCTTTTTGTGCCACAGGATGATACTAACTTTACAAGATATCCAACCCGCGATTTACCAAAGTAAATAAATCTTTGACACCAAAATTCCATAGATAAAGCTCTACACAGTGGCTAACATGAACAAAATTTACCCATGTTACAGGTGTTCTGATCAGACCATGAAACATGAAACTCTGGCGTCAAAAGATCTCTCTCTTTAAAAGGGCCAAGACATTACCAGTATGATTCAAAAAATTTTCTGCGCCAAAGACATAGTACCTTATAATTATCCGGGGTCCTATTACTTTTATTCTACACAACCAAAGAAAGAATTCTAAAAAATCAAAATCTTAACAAAAGCGATATCAGAACGAATGGATAATAATAAAATGATAATTGATTCAAATATAACATGAATAACAAGAAATAAGGAAGGTCAAGATATTATGAGAAATATTATTGTTATTATTGATAGTATTCATCTGATGATAATGATAATGATAATGACAACGATAATAATAACAGTAGCAGCGATAAAAAATGATTCGGCAGCATCAAATATGATAATTGCCAGACCTTTAAAGAAAAATAATGAAAAGACAACGAATAAAAGTAAAAATGATGACATATTACCAAAAACAAACCAATTAAAGCAATTAAAATCAGGAAAAATAACATTATTTATTTATTATGCCATAATATTAATTATTAATATTAATCACTTTCCTTTCAGCAGATTCCAAAAGATTTTTTAAGGCTTTTCCATATCTATCAATCGTATTAGAGTAATTTTCATATAATGCAATTAAAGAAGATTTTTTGGAAATTTGTGATTCCTAGAAATAACATTTAATTTTTGGGAAGATTAGTTCTTTATAACTTATTAATGTTATTTATTTATATTATTATTATGACTATTATTAGTTACAAACCATTTGATCATCTATTAGATTATCTTTTTCATCAAACCATTTAATATTTTCTAGATTATGGGATAAAGTGGAAATACTTGTTGCAATCTTGGAAAATAATTCTGAAAATGTTCTTTAGAAAAAATCATTAAATTGCTTTAATTAAATGTTTATATATATATTTTTATATTTTCATTATATATGTGTAGGTAGTTATATACTTTTGGTGTTCCAATTCTACGTTTATATGATCTCCAACATAAGGATCTTTTAATCTCATTAAAAGTGATTCTTTATTTGACATTACAATTTCCAAATGTTGATTAAACTTGGACAATTCCATAATCTTCTTTTCTACACTTGTGTATAATTTTTTTGTGTGATCAGTAAAAATAAAATAAAATTGATGATCAAATATTATTCATTTATTTATTTACCAAATTGTGATTTTTTAATTATATCAAAGCTTTCTTTTAGATCAATAAATTGATTCAATTCAACAAAACACTAGGCAATAAAATTAAAAAATATTATTAGTAACTGACTTATCCACACATACACATAAAATTCTAATAATCCTTTACTTTTTGATAATCCTCTAAAAAATCTAAAAGTTCCTTCAATAAATTCAAGAATTGCATCGAACTTTCAATTTCTTGTGAAGATGTGTTTTTTTTCTTTATATAATATAAATTACATTTTTCTTAATAACTAAAATAATAATTAAATTAATCAAAATAATAATTATCTAATAATAACTATTTTACATTCTCAAGTCCGAGTTTTGTGGCAAAATCCAATACATATTTTAAGGAATAATTTGGTTTCGATACTGGCTCTAATTTCAATAGATTCTTCAATGGATTCATTATTATATTTTTTTTTTTGAAAAAGAAATATAATTTACGCATACGTGTTTATCACGTGTTAATAAATAAAAATTTGATCTTTATTTATTTTCACTTGCTACAAATCAAAGGTAATATATTTATATTTATATAACATAATAAAAAAATTCTTCAAAAAATTAAGAATAAAAATGATTATGAGGTCTTTGGGGCTTTTTCAAGCAAATCTTTTATTTTAGCTTCAGAAGCACCAAGTACGGTGCCTACCACTTCGCCTTTGTCAAACAAGATAAAAGTCGGCATGGAGGTTACATGGTATTTTTCTGCGATATCCTAGTTAAGGATAAAAGAGAATGTGTTAATTTTGATGATTATGTATGTATGCTAAACATTTATTTATATATTTACACTGCTCTCATCAACATCGACTTTAAAAAATTTAACATGTGTATGAATTTTAGAAAGGTTTTCAAAGATTGGTGCTATAAATTTACAAGGGGGACACCAAGTGGCCGTAAAGTCTACAATTACCTTTATTTTTTTTGAAAAAAAGATTTATTGTTTTAATTAAAAAAACAAAAAACATGAAAATAAGATTATAAAATTATATAAAATATTTTGCTTTACATATCCGTCATCAAACTTTTCGTCCAATTCTTTTTGACTTTGAATCTTTACTACGGTCATTTTTTTTTGTAAAATAAAAAAATTTTATCATCGATATCTAAAACAACCTCTCCATTTATTTATTGCGATTACTAATACACGCTAACTAATTAGGTTAGATTAACCGATTTTTTTTGTCAGTATTAGGCCGAAAAAAGGAAATTCCGTCATCGTAATCACAATGACAAATAATAATAACAATAACAATCACAATTACAATAATTTTCGTAATACTTTCAATTGAATGGTATTATTATTATTAATCAACAGTCTTTTTTCAAAAGAACAATTCAAACCAAGCGGAAGCTATTTATAAATATTATACGCCGATACTTTCATTCGAAGAATTTCGTGAAATCAATTATAATTGATTACAAATAGGCAATGGCCTCAAAGATCCTAAATAACATCTTATTGTGTAATTTCTTATGCTTGCGTTGACTGTTATATTTTTAAATACTGTTTATTAAAGATAACAACTTGCTCAAAAAAGTCCATAGGGCATTTAAAAATGTTAGATAGAAACCATAACTTCCATTTATGTCAAGAAATTCACGAGAGACCTTTATTGTGGTATTAGTTAGTATATATATATGTTGTATATGAAACTATGTAAAATAATTAAAATTTGGGGTGGGAATTCAAATTAGCCAATCAGAATTTCATATCCAAACACCCACGCATGTGAATTGGTAGATTTATTTCATTATTCCAAAGCTAAATGATGACAGTTTCTATAAACTTTATTCATACAAAATTTAGATAATTGGTTTGATTTTCATATCAAACCATTTTTTTGTATTAGTAAGCAATTAATTTTTTTCTTTTAATAGATCAAGTGTGAATATTTTTTTTCCTAAATTTCCTTAAAATTTTTTATTATTATCATCATGTCATTTTCCGAAATTGCTGCGGCAAGTATTGCTTATTCCACAAGTGATGTTGTGTATATCATAGAGTCCACACATAAAAAATCATCAGATTTTAAAAAATCAAAAAAAAAAAATATCTATAACCAAGTAACAGAATTGGAAACTATTCATGCAAATTCCGACCCTTTTTCTACAGTATATTCCACAATTTCAAAAGGTTCACTTGTGTCAGTTATTGTAACTTCTAATAGTTCAAAAAATGTATTAATTCCTGCCATTCCATATCTCTACAAAATTGCTAATCAACATATCCCAGTTGTAATTCATGTTTCTCTTATCAACAATAACAATAGCAATTCCAATCTTAGTGATTATACTAATATAATGGCTTTAAGACAAACCGGATTTGCTTTATTACATTCAACTGGTGAACAGGATACTTTAGACATGACTTTGATTGCACATTCAATTGCAATCAAGACCAATACACCTGTTCTACATTTCTTCGATAACTCAGGATTACAACTGAAGGAAATTCCACTTTTCAGTCATGATTTCATAAAAAAATTTATAGAAAAATCTGATGTTGATTACTATCATGAATTAATTTCAAAATCAGAGAATTTGAACACCCTTTATCTTCAACCAAAAAATCAATCATCTAATAACGAAATTTACAACAGCAACGTAAAGATTAATCAAAATGGTGGTGTTGACGATCCAATCTTGATCAATGGTAAAAATGAAGAAAATAGTGTGAAAACAAATGGAGTTTCTTCTGCTCCAGATTTCTTTACAAATACAACAGAAAAGATTTTTGCACTCTTCAAAAAAGAAACTGGACGTTCATATTCAAATTTCAAATTCCTTGGTAATAATGAATCAGATTTACTCATTGTTACATTTGGTTTGAACCTTTTACAAAATTTCATTGGAAGTGATTTTTTGGGTTTTGGATTAATTCAGGTCAGATTATATCGTCCGTGGTATAGCCAATTATTTTGTAATGCAATTCCAAAAAAATCAATCAAAAAGGTTTTAGTGTTAGAGCAAGTTTTCACCAGCACAACTAAATGGCTACCTTTGTACCTTGATGTTACTTCATTTTTTCATAATAAAAAATATTGGAACAATCATGTACCTTTTATCATAGGTGGTCAGTATGGCAATAATTTAAATGATGGATCAATTGGTTTGCATGTGAAGAACCTTTTACATGATCTTAAGTCAGCTAAGTTACATGATAATATTAATCTTGGCGAAGAACTTGTTAAAAAATCACAGGAAAATAATATTAATGGTCATATTACCACCACCACCACAAATTCTATTACCAGCAATAAAAATAATGTTGATGCTATTATTGCTGAATCAAAACTTGAGAAGCCATATCTTAACATGCTCAATGAAATTTTTGCAGATCGTTTATTTATTGCAAATGCTATCTCAAAGCCTAATGCGGGTTATTTTGAAGCTATTAAATCGACTCCCGAATTTGGATATGGTGTTTTAATTTCAAAACTCCAAAAACGTTTACAATTGGTTGACTTTGTTTCAAGTGCATTGAAAAATGAGAAAATTCCAGAGTCTCTTCATGTTGCTTTGTCTCAATGGATTTTAGGCAAAGATGATGCTGATAAATCAAAGGAATTTGGTGAAACAGCCATTAGTTTACTTTATAAATTACATAAAGATAATCAATCACTAACCAACATCTATAATCTGAAAGATCAATTTTTTAAACCATCAAATTGGCTTATTGGATCTGATTTATGGGCTAATGATATAGGAGGATCGGGAGTTCATCATGTTATTTCATCAGGAAAAGATATTAATATTCTGATCATTGATTCACAGCCTTACACCACACGTACTGCAAACGATCCTGATAAACGTAAAAAAGATATTGGTTTATACGCTATGAATTATGGTGATGTTTATGTAGCATCTGTTGCTGTGTATTCTTCATATACTCAAGTACTACATGCACTTATTGAAGCTGAAAAATACAAAGGTCCCTCAGTTGTATTAGCATATATGCCTTATCATAGTGAAAATGATTCACCAATTACTGTGTTAAAAGAAACAAAACTTGCTGTTGATGCAGGTTATTGGCCACTTTATCGATGGAATCCAGCATTAGAAAAAGAAGGAAAAGAAAGTTTCACACTAGACTCTGAAAAAATTAAACAAGAACTTCAATCATTTCTTGAAAGAGAAAATTATTTAACGCAATTGAGTAATGTAAAACCTGAAATCTCTACTATAACAACAAATTCACTTGAATCAGAGATAAAAGCAAAACAACAATCACTTGCCAAACTAACTTTTAACAAATTATTGGATGGAATGTCTTCAGGACCTCCACTTTTAATTCTTTTTGGCTCAGATAATGGCAACACTGAAGGACTCGCAAGAAGATTACAGAAAGGAGCTAAAGCTCGTGGTGTTGTGGCTAGGTGTATGGCAATGGATGAATTCCCTATTGAAGAACTTTCATTAGAAAAAAATGCAGTTTTTTTGTGCTGTACTGCTGGTCAAGGAGAATTCCCACAGAATGCACGTGAATTTTGGAAACATATTTCCACCACCACAGAGGTTTCTTTAGTTGAAACAAAATACGCAGTATTTGGTCTTGGTGATAGTAAATATTGGCCCAGAGCTGAAGACATCATCTACTATAATAAACCAGGTAAAGAGTTAGATTTACGCTTGGAGCTTTTAGGCGGGCAGAGATTATTACCTTTTGGATTGGGTGATGATCAAGATCCTGATGGTTATGAGACAGGGTTTCAGGCTTGGGAACCTTTACTTTGGGATGCACTTAATGTTAAATTGCTTGGCAGCGTTGTTGAGGAACCTAAAAAAACAGATGATGATATGAAAGTTGAATCAAATTATTTGAGAGGATCCATTAAAGAAGGGCTTGAAGATACTTCAACAGGAGCATTAGCAGAAAGTGACACCAAGTTGACCAAATTTCATGGAATTTATCAACAAGATGATCGTGATTTAAGAGAAGAGAGAAAAGCACAGGGATTAGAAAAGGCTTATTCATTCATGGTTCGTGTCAGAGTACCTGGAGGGATATCAACCGCTAAACAATGGCTAGCTTTAGATGAAATCTCTGAAAAATGGACAAGTGGTTCTTTGAAACTTACAACACGTCAAGCCTACCAGTTACATGGTGTTCTGAAACGTAATTTGAAGTTAACAATACGTGGAATAAATAAATGTTTGTTGGACACGCTTGCAGCATGTGGTGATGTTAATCGTAATGTGATGTGTAATCCAAATCCTCTTCAATCTGAAATTCATTATGAAGTAAATGAATTTGCAAAAAATATAAGTGCACATTTGACTCCTCGCACATCATCCTATCATGAAATTTGGCTGGATGATAAAATGGTTGCAGGTCAGGCTGTACAAGATCACGAACCATTGTATGGTCCTACATATCTTCCACGTAAATTTAAGATTGCAATTGCAATTCCGCCTAATAACGATGTAGATGTTTTTGCTCATGATTTAGGATATATAGCTATAGCAGATAAAACCAACAAAAAATTATTAGGCTATAATGTTACAATTGGTGGTGGTATGGGAGCAACACATAACAATAAAAAGACTTATCCAAGGCTTGGTGATGTTATTGGATTTTGTAGACCTGAACAAGCCATTGATGTTGGTGAAAAAATCATGTTGATACAGCGTGATTTTGGCGATCGTACAAATAGGAAACATGCACGTTTCAAGTATACAATAGATGATAGAAGCATTGAATGGTTTTGCTTAGAATTGGAATCTCGTTTAGGATATAAATTGGAGGATGCAAAGGAGTATAAATTTGAAAATAATGCAGATCGTTATGGATGGACTAAAGGAATTGGGGATAAATGGCATTTTTGTATGTATATAGAAAATGGACGTGTCAAAGATGAACCAGGAGCGCCTATTAAAACAGGGTTACGTGAAATAGCCAAAATTCATAAGGGTGATTTCCGATTAACACCTAATCAACATCTTATTCTTGGTAATGTTAGTGAAAAAGATAAGCCAAATATCGAAAAACTTTTAAAGAAATATGCATTAGATAATCTGCAATACACAGGTATAAGATTAAATTCAATGTCATGTGTAGCATTGCCAACATGTGGCTTAGCCATGGCAGAAGCAGAAAGATATCTACCAACACTAGTATCAAAATTGGAGAGCATTGTTGAGGACATTGGATTAAAACATAATGCGATAGTTATAAGAATGACTGGGTGTCCTAATGGATGTGCTAGGCCATACGTTGCAGAAATTGCATGTATTGGTAAGGCCCCTGGTACATATAATCTTTATTTAGGAGGAGGATTTTATGGACAGAGATTAAACAAATTGTATAAAGAAAGTTTAAAAGAAGATGAAATATTAAATGAATTAAAACCAATGTTAACAAGATATGCCAAAGAAAAATATGAAGATGAAAAATTTGGTGATTTTGTCATTCGTGCGGGATATATAAAAGCTACAAGATTTGGAAAAGATTTCCATGATCTTTGAATTATTTAAATAACTTGATAATTTTTTTTTTCTTAATATTTTATATTTTATAATCATTTATTATATTATTATCCACTCTGTATTTTTGGTTTTAATTGTTTAAAAAAAATTTTCAAAAAATAGAGAAAATTTAATAATAGAATTTATCTGTAAAATTATCCAATGTTAGCAATAGTCTACGATTATGTAAGAACTAACATTAAATAAATTTTTAATTCTTGAAAAAATTTGATCTGATCTAATAATGTAATATAAATCTATGTAAGTACGTACCTCAACAAGTTTTCATTTACATATTTTAAAAAAATGAATCAATTTATTGTTGTTGTTGCATTATATGTATCTTTATGTCCCACCCATTCCAATGAATAGGTGCTTGAACCTTCATAAGTAGTATTACTTAATCGAACTAATGGATTTTTACGAATCATGTTCTCAACTTCATCCCACAGTTTTTTTCGATGGAATGGGTCTTCAACAAATGATAAAACTTGGTCACGCCATTGTAAAGAAATGATTTCTGACTCAATTTCCAATATATCATAAATAACATCAACTGCTCTCTTAATTATCGCCTTCTCTTTTCTTTTTCTCATGTAAAGCTTGCAGATAAGTATTAACAAACACGCAGAAATTAAGTAGGCTAAAAATGAAAAATGAACAATATCAACTGGTAAGCATTGATTAATTGAAAATAAACACATTAAAATATCATATTTACTTACATAAAATCCGTGAAAAAGAAAATTTGGATTTGATTGAACAAAAAAATGGATAAATAGCATTATTTGGAATAATATAATGTTGAATTATACTACTTTTGCCATAAGGTCTAATCAAATAGTAAAACCGAATATTAAAAAATAATCAAACGATGATGGAATTGACGAAAAATACTTGCCTAATTTCTTCTTTTTCTACAACCACATGCCCTTCACCTTTCAACTTTGAGAGAGAGGATTCAAATAATTTTTCAAAATCTTGATCTGAATCCTTATCCTACATTTTAATAGATGTTAATTTATATAGATATAAAATGAGTATTGATAATGAAACAATGGGTTTTACGATGAATACCATTTCTTTTCTGATTTTCAATTTAATGTTATTTATTTCCAAATTTTCCCTATCGCCATATCCACATTCGATATTTCCCAATTCTTTTGCTGATGTTTTTTTAATAGCATTAGCATATTTAGAAACTTTTACAACTTGATCTGAATCTATTTCACAACTGACCAATAGTGGATTAATGAATGAAAATGACGAATTAACTATTATGAATCCTTCTTCACAGGCAACAAGTCTACCATCTTTACATATTCCAAAATCAGGACATGATGTGCAAAGATGACTTGCTATTGTGTCTATAATGATATTCACTGATTATTAAATTAAAATTATTTATATAAATAGATAATAAAAAATACAAGTTTCATTACTTGCCTTTTTCAATTGTACCACTATCGCTATCACAGAAACCAACGGTATATTTGATTTTGTAAAGGAAGGTAATAAATAAGTAGCCTGTTATGAGAATACTTGTAATGATAGTAAAAAGAATTTTTTTTCTTTCTAATTTTTCAAGATTCCGAATAATTTTTGGTGTAGGTGTACGTTCTACGTTTCTTTCACGTGTACGTTTATTTCCGATCCAACAGTAATTTACTACTTCAGAGTGTGGTTCATTTGAAACAACTGGTGGTGGATTGAGAAAGGGTGGCGATGGTGATAGAAAGGGCGGAGGTGAAGGTGAGTGGGTGAGACTTGGTGAAGATTTATTAGGAGGAGGAGAGGGGGAAGGAGAAAATGACGGATTTACCTCTGAAAAAATTATTGGTTTATTTTTTGTCTTTTTAATAGGTGGTTTTTTTGTTTTTTTTGGCATTATTACGAATGAAGAAATAATTGTGGAAATTTTATTGGTCGAGCTTTAATTTCCAAATGAAAAACGCCCAACCACAAACACATGATCTTTTATCACGTGAATTTACTTATTATTACGCGTCGAAAATGTTCATGTAACACTTTTTATTTCACATAATAAACATAATAATAATATAACACTACGCGGAGAATTTCAAAAAATTTTTGGGTTATTTAATCTACATCCACGATTAAATCATGCATGAAAATAATTATGCAACAAAAAAAAAATTTTTTTTGGTTTTTTGGTAAATGCAAACAAATAGAAAGGTGTTGATCATTTCAAAAAAAAAAAAATATATATATAAATATGAATTTTTGGGATAAAAAAAATTTTTATTTTCCTTTTTTTTATTCTACCAAATTATTGGGTGGATGACTGACCGACCGACTGATCATCCCAAAAATTGTTTCTCGCATTTTTAAAACAACAAGAATAAAAATAAATTACTATCATCATTTTTATTCTTTTGATCGATTTCAAAAAATAGAATTAAATATTACGCCCAAAATATGAATGAAAAGTTTTGTTTTGCTGGTAATTGTGATTTTAAGAGAAACGAACAATGTATCGCCTAAACTAGAAAGCCAATAATGCACAACCCTTATGTATGAACATGTATCGTCAGAAATTGATACTTTTGAATTCATTATGAAAAAAAAAGAAAAGAAAGAAAAAAATTTTTTTTATGGTTTGTTGGAGCCATTAAAAATTTGTCTCACGAATGTATTAGAATAATGGTATAAAGAGTCCTCACAGACAGAAATACTGATTTTGGACAGGCGTATAAATTATAAAATAAACAACTATTGTTTTTCTTTATTATATAATAATGCATGATCATGACGCAGATTACATAATCAAATCACAAAAATGTAAAATGATCGTCGGAATAACTGGAAAAAAAACAGCTTTTGTGCATAAATTCGATATAATTAATGGGAAAGTTTTTATAGAATTTAAAATTTTTTTTACAACAATGCCAATATCATTAGGTGACTTGTCAAGTATTGGGATAGGAATGTATAGAATGTGTTTAAATAATCAAGAAAATGAAAAGGCTCTGATCAAAGCATTAACAAAACATATTAATAATAATCACAATACTAATGACAATAAAATCATTAATGTTATTGATACATCAACAAATTATTGTGATGGAGGAAGCGAAGAATTAATTGGTAAGGTGTTATCAAGTCACGACAAGAAAATATTGAGTCGAGATGAAATTTGTATTGCTTCGAAATTTGGTTATTGCCAAGGCAAAAACCTTGCATTATATCACAGTGGACATTTCAAGAATATACCTAATGATCATATGGTTCAATACAGTCCTAACTGTTATCATTGTATTCATCCGATATTTATGAGGTTAGAATTTTTCATTATTTTCTCAGAGAAAAATCAAGATGTATATATTTTTAATAATAAATTTATTATATGTTACTTTTTTTTTTGAAAAGAGACCAATTAAACAGAACTTTAAATCGTTTACAAACTAAATATATTGATATTTGGTTTATTCATAATCCCGAGTATTATTTAATGAATAATATTCATACTGGAAATAATAATGTTGAAGGTTTGTTGTTTGATTGATCTGATTGATCCGATTGATCCAATGATCTGGTTGATTCGATTTATCTTATTGCTTCCGATGGAAATTTTTATTTAAAAAAAAGTTTACCAAAAGAAAATGTTGGATCGAATTGGTGAAACGTTTGTAGCACTGGAAGAAGCGGTATCAACAGGATTGATTCGTTCTTATGGTATTAGTTCCAATAGTTTTTCTGTTCCTCCTGAGGATAAGCATTTCCTACCTTTCGAGGATCTTATTGAACGTGCAAAAAATGCTTCTAGATTTGTCAGAGGCACTGAAAAACATGGATTTGCAGCCATACAACTTCCAGGAAATTTATTAGAACAATATGGATTAAAAACTACAGCCAAATGGGCAAAAGAGAATGGATTAAAGGTTAAAAAATAATGACAATAATATAATAATAATAATAATAATAATAATAATAATAATAATAATAATAATTATAATTATAATTATAATTATAACAACAATAATGAAAATATTTACTTAGGTGTTTATTAACAGACCACTTAATGCCTTTAATGATGAAGGTGGATTTCGCTTAGCAAGTTATCCTAAAACTAGTTATGAAGAAATAAAAAACTCAACGATAAAAATTTTGGAAAATCAGGTGCGTGAAGGTGGAGAGAGCAGTGGAAGTAAAACGAGTGTTGGAGGAGTTGGAGCACCGGCAACGTTTATCTTGGAGATAGTCAAACAACTGGACAAACAACTGCCTAACTTGACAAATGTGTTTCAATTGGAAAGTGTTAAAGCAAGCGTGAATGCAAACTTGAGGCAATTTCATGCAAATCAAGAGATCAATTCTATTGCTTATCCGTTTATAGATGCATTTGATGCAGAAGTCAGATATCGTGGGTCGTTGCAAGTCAGAAAGTATTTGATTGAACAACAAGGATTTAAAGAATTAAATGATAAAAATCAAAACATTGAAGAATTTGCCACAAACTTTTTGTTCAATACAGGTGTTGTCGATGTCGTTCTAATGGGAATGACGCGAGAAAGATATGTCGATTTCGGAAGAAAAATGTTAAAAACGTTATCAGAACAAAAAGATAAAAAAAATTAGTCGGTCAATATTAACAATTGAATAATAAATTTTTTTATAAAATTGCAAAAAAAAATTTTTAAGATCGATTTTATTTTTACGTATAACATTACACGATCTTGTCATTGTATAAACCTGTATTTTAATTTGATTGACGATCGTTACCCTTGCAAATAATAACCCTGCCTATATATCACGTGGATCGCGCAGGATCCAGGATCGCGTGAAATTTACAAGTACGGGAATCGAGAAATTTATCATCATTATTATCAATGCTATTATTATTTCATGATTGTTTACTGTTTAATCGAAATGCATTAAACACATGAAAACATCAAATGAATTTTTTTTTATTTTAAAATTATCATGTGTTCTCTTTCTTCCTTTTAAAAGATGTGGCAAAATAGTTTACATCGTGTGTTAATAAGAAAGAAATCTATTATTATTTTTATTTTTATTTTGTAAAATAAAATTTGCTATTTTCTTATATAAAAAATAAATAAATATATATAAATAAATACATAAATATGAGACATATACACAAGCCCCGGATCGCTCTAATTAAAGAAGGATTTCTATTTATTTAAAATATATTATATATTTGCTAATAATAAACATAATCATTATTATTATTATATTATTGTCAATATAATAATAACGTTATATAAAATTTCGCGCACTTTCCATTTGAATTATTCAAATGTTGACGGTTATTTCCGCAAATATTAATTCGTATATTATAAAATAAATATACAAGCACATAGTATATAACGAATAATAATTAATAAATAGAAACATTAGTAATAGTAATAATAATAATAATAATAATAATAATAATAAATTCATGCCCCATGTCTTTTTATTAATGACAATTTTTTACACGAATCTAAAACTTTTATGGATTGACTATAAGACCCAAAAAGTAAACGTTAAAGCACAACTATTTAAAAAGATTAAATCCGTCTTCAAATTTCTTCTTATTTTCTTGTGTTCAAAAAACAAAATTTTTTTTTTTTAGTATGAAAAGCTATTTTTTTTTTTCGGATTTTTTTTATTTTTATTTGTTCCTTCTCTCTTCTCGTTTCTTGGTGGTACCTTTTTAATATCCTTTATTGTAGTTGTCATCGTCTAGAATAAATAAATCAAACACTATTGAATCATTTTTATTAATCAATTATGTTTGTTTGTAAAAATAAAAAAAGACAACAAAAAAAATTTATTTTTGATTATTTAACAAATTTAGAATGCTATGCAGCTATAAAACTCCCCTTTTCCTCGTCTTTTCCACCCTTTCCTCTTTTTCGGTCCGACAATTCCCACGCGCTACCTTGTTGACTTTTTCTGGCCTATATATATTATTATTATTTATTATATGTGCATATATTAAATGAGTTATATTTAATAAGTAATATGTGATATATTGGAGGTAGGTAATATCAATAACATTATTATAATATAAAATATCAATAACATTATTATAATATAAAATATCAAATATAAAATATAAAATATAAAATATAAAATATAAAATATAAAATATAAATATAAAATATAAAATATAAAATATAAAAAATACAAGATATAAAAAATGTAATAAATATTATGTGTAAACATTATATAATTTACATCAATTGATATCATTTACTCATCAAATGATCTTGTTTTTGTTGTTTGTGTTGTTGTTAATTCGAGATTGGATGATTTATAATAAATAATATCACAAAATAATTTATTTCAATTTTCATTTTAATTCTTTTTCATTTTTGATTATTATATTATATTTTAATTAGTAATTTATTATCTTACCCATCAAGATCTTCTTTAACATGATTATTAAGTTTTTGATTTGATATTATTTTGTTACAAAAAATTTTTTTTGATATATGAATTGGACTTAATTCGGATATGTTTAAGTTCAAAACAAAGATCGGCACGATAATTATTTATTTTTAATCGCGTTTTTTTTTAATAGATAATAAAATCAGTTTTCTCCATGGATCATAATAATATTTATTTTAGTATTATTAATCAATCAATTATTATTATATAATTTTATTATTATATAAATTAATTATTAGTGACGTAGAACAGTCAAAATTATTATTTGGTGATATAATCTACAGCCAATTACTAGCTATTAGGTTTATTAATCATATATAGTTATTAATTGATGAATGATGAATCTCAATGATTGGTTTAACTTAATTAATTTTTAGTTAAGTGATGAACTGGCTGACCGAATGAATAGCCCATTAATATGGTTGGTTAGTTAGTTGACCGAAGATCTAGTTTATTATTATTATTATTAATTGTTGTTATGAAATTTTGATGTTTTTTAAGAATTTAGAATATGCAAAAGAAGTCTTATTTTTAAATCTCTAATAAAAAAAAACAGGGCCAAATTTAAAACAGTTATACAAATTTATTTCGGAGTTGCAAACATTCATATTCCATTGTCCGTTATTATTATTATTGTTATATAATATATATATATGTATATATATATATATATATATATATATATGCGTGTATGTATATTTTAAAAAATAATAAAATTAGCTGATGATAAACCTTACGCATTATCAAAGAAAAAGAACTCGAACAATAATAACAATAAAACAATAGCAATAATAATGGTAGTAATGGTAGCGATATTGTAATAGCAAATATTAGTAATATTAGTAGGAAAAAAGATTTGTTCATTATTACACAATCAGTGTGATCATACAAAACAATAATTATTGTGTTTATACATATGCACACACATATTAATTTCTTCTAACCGGGATTTAACCTGCGCCACGAACTCATTGTTTGAAACAATGTAAAGGTTTTTTTAGTTAGAAAGAATGGAGGAAAAATGGAGGAAAATGGAAAATGGAGAATTGAATGGAGCGGAATTAAATACAACAATACAATACAATTAATTAATCTTGTGAATTGAGTTTATTTATTTGATTGGCACTTTTGAAAGTCGTACAATTATTATTTATTAATAGTCTTATTATTTATTATTTATATTAAGAATTATTAATTTATTATTATCATGTTAGAAATTCAAATATGTAAGTAATATTTTTCTACATATTTATTATTATTATCATCATCGATGAAAAATCATAAGTTTTATGTAAAATATATATATATATATACTCGGGGGTGATCGCTTGGACTCTTGTATAACAGTTATAGGCGGTTACCCGCGCTAGTCCGTAAAAGGGTTCAATGATATTATTTGATACAAGTAGTAGTGGTTCATGTAAATCTTTTAGTTAAATTCGTTATAAATAGAATTATTAATTAAATATTTACGTTTTGTTTGTAACCATTTTTGAATGAAACTTTACTAAATATTTATTGGAAATTTTCCTAATGCGTGCTGATTTAATTAACAAATTTTTATTAAGATTCGGAATAATTTTAAATATTTATTATTATTATTATTATTATAATGAATGTATGCTTTATTTTTAATTTTAACTTTACGAAAAGACAATGGTACTACGTAATATACAGCTAATTTTAATTGAACAATATACTATGTAAGTAAATAGTAGCATTTGCAACGTGGATTAACTATTATTATTATTATTATTATTATTATTATTATTATTTTTATTATTATTTTTATTATTTTTATTATTATTATTATTATTTATTATTTTTGTACCGAAAAAGATTCTTATCTTCATAATAAGAGCCATATTTGTATTTATATAAAAAAAATAATAATAAAAATAATAATAATAACAATAATAAATAATTTATATAACTTTTTTTTTTTGTGTTTCCTTAACTTTCAAATTATCACATTCTTTATTTAGCATTAATACTTTCACGCTTTTGTAATTTATTTATTTTTATTTTATTTTAAGATATCAAAAACAAATTATTTTTTTTTACTTGTTTCACTTGAAAGTTTATTGGTTATTCATACAAAATCATCATTACATCTGGTTCAATTATACTTCTATCAATGGATAAATTAAAATTTTTTATAGTATTAGAATGAACTACGCGATTGGCCTTAGTTTCATCCTCATCGTTACCATTCCTTCTATTATCATATATTGTTACTAACAAACATTTATAAATAATAAATAAATAAAAATATAATTAGTGTTTGTAGTAGTAATGGTAATTGTGGTGGTGCTGGTGTTGGTTGTGGTGGTGCTGGTTGTGGTGGCGGTACTGGTGGTGGTGGTAGTAAACGATTTTTCACCCGGTTTTTAAACCTGCCCAGAACTTCTTTTTCTCATGAATTTTACTGAAAAAAAGGCGTAAAAAATTTTTTTTAAATATATTTATTATTTGGTTGTTGTACATAAAATATCATTAACAAGATCTAATAAAATCAAATGATAATATGTAATGACGCGTCGTTTAAGAATCTTTATGGTAATGAATGCCTAAACTACAAAACACCAATCACAGACCTTTATAAATTTACGATTTACCTAAAATATATTTATTTATTGTTATTTATTATTAGTATCATTATTTATTGTTGTTGCTATTACTATTACCATTAATATTAATATTTATTTAACGATTATTAAATTTTTATAAATAAAATATTTTTTTTTACGATACTAATTAAATTTTTAAGTTGAATCTTGACTTATATGCAGTTTATCAATTGGATCAATTTATTTTAATCTAACACATGGTTCACTTTCTTTGTGATTCTAAGATAAAAACCAGCTTTACAGCAAGTTTTACGATTCTAAAGTGGTATAAGAAGGACTATCTTCCTCCCAAAAAAACTGCCGCATGCTTAGAAAAAGCAATTCTTTCTACTGTTAATTATATTCTTTATTTCTCTATCTCTCTCGCTATTTTTCTTTCACTTTTCCCTTCTTTTCCTTCAATTCTATTATTATCATTACTGTTATTGTTATTATTATTATTGTTATATTAGTGCGTGTATATTTATAATTTTTTTCCTTGAATTTTGGGTTTTGCTTAATTTTACTAAAAGTTCGTTTTTTTTTTTAAATGTTTTTTAAAAAAAATTTGATTTTATTTCTCAAAAATTCAAAAATAAAATTTCTCTTGATAAAATAAGAAATGTTTTTAAATTGACTTAAAAAGAAATCTCTGAAAGCTCATATTGATATATAATAAATATGATATAGTATATAGTATATATAATAATAAATATATTAATTCTAATGTCCATTGTTTTGAAAAAATTTATTAGTAACTACGTTATTTTGGTGATACGATTTTATGCAAGAAATATTGTTTATACATATATATACTTATATGCTTACATATTTTCAAAATTTCTTTTAAATATAAAAGACCTGTTTTTTCCCAAACTTGGAACAAAAACTTCACTTCTTTTCAAAATTTTAATTTTTGTTTTAAAAAAAAATAAAACAACAACAAAAACAATTACAAAAAATAAATAAATAAATAAATATTATTATTATTATTAACATATCATCATCACTCACTTTATTTTTGAATTCATTATTTATTTATTTTTTTAAAAAAAATTATTAATAAAAAAATCTTTTTACAAAACAATGCATTCTAATAATAAAATTGACTTTGTGCACTATGTACATTATAATAACAATAATGAAATGCCGACGGACATAACGGTAAAACTACCTTTGAAATTGGCTGACGATGATCTGGTCGCAAAACCTCGTAGAGGAAGAATTCCAACTAGACCACCTAATAATTTTTTGATCTTTAGGACCGCATATACTAGGGTCCTACAATCTAGGGGACACTGGGATCTTCGTATGAGGGAGGTCACCAGTCATGCAGCGAGAGCTTGGGCTCTCGCGTCACCGGAAGTAAAATTAGAGTGCAAAAAATTAGCAAATTATGCCAAAACAAAGCATGAAGAGGTTTACGGCCCAACTCAAACACGGCCACGCAAAAGACGACAAAATGATAATAATAACAACAGCAACAACAACAACAATAACAACAAACGTAATAAACGTAACAGCATCAACAACATCAACAACATCAATAACATCAATAACATCAACAACATCAACAACATCAACAACATCAACAACATCAACAACATCAACAACATCGGCATTGACATTAACAACATCAATAATAATAACGAAAATGTTAGAAAAGATCATTTGCCTCTTTCATTGCCTGATAACAATCTTCAAATAGAAGATTGCTCTAGTTCAACATCCACAACACCCCCAACACCTCCAATACAAGATGTAGTCGCATCAATTTACTTTGATGATATGATGAGTCATAACTATACACAAGCATGCGAATGGCCGGAACATCATCATATTGGCTACGAAATGTCATTTTCCTCAAGTGGAAGTGATTTAGGGGAAAATGTCCATCGATACACCACAACCATTTACCCCTCTGGGTAGATATTTGATTTTTTTATTTATTTTAAAAATTATTTATGTTCATGTAATAATAATAGCATTTTACATATTTATTTATTTATTATTGTAATTTTATTTATTATTAATAATAATAATCCTGTTTATAATCAAGCATTTTATGAACCATCATCTCTAAGATTTATTATTTCTCTAAGCTTTTCAATAATTACGCTTTTTATTTTTTTAAAAAAACAAAAAAATATCAATTCATTATCGTATTCTCGTGTTTTTAAAAGTAATCGTTTACTATTTTCGCTTCATTGTTTTTTTTTTATTTCACATTCGTAAGCATTGGCAAATCTACATTTTATTTTTTCTCTTTTTTATGGCAAAATCTGAAGTACAAAAAAATTTTTTCTTGTTTTATATTTTTATTTTAATAAAAAAATTTTTGATAAATTTTTCCCATTTAACACTTAAATTTCATGTGACAAATTTTTTTGACCATATGTTGTTGATTTTTCCTATAAAAAGTTTGGATTTTCAGCGGGAAATATCGTCCATTTTGTCATTTCTTGTTTTTCTTTTTTTTTTTCTAAATTAATAAAATCTAACTTGTTGCAGAACGCACAGAGAATCACAACAACGTGTGCATTACTAATGAAAAAGATGCACAAATAATCTCAAAGATATTAATTAACGTAATTGATGAATTCAAATATACATTAGCAATAATAAATGAATGAATGTTGTGATTAATTAATAAACGAATGCTGTCACTATTATTACTATTATCATCTCTATTATGATTCATTCAAACATAGAACAATGTAATATTTTTACAAATAAATTTAAATTCTACGAAAAAAAAAAAGATAAAATTTAATGAACCTTGATTTGAAACAATTGAACAATAAGACTTAAAACGTAATTAATTCCTTCCGAGTGACACTATTGTTATTTTTTCTTTTTTGCGAAAAAAATTTAACGAGTGTCACGAAAAAAATAAGCTGTTATTATCGTTACACAAACTTTATTTATTTTTATTTTCAATATTACTTTGTTTGGAATATATATGATTCTTAATACACACATACATACATGTTACTTCATTCAAACTTGTTTTGTAAAACAAATTAAAAATCAAAACGGAGGATCCTCGATATACTTTCTCCCGCGCTTTTTTTTTTTTTTTTTTTTTTTTTGAAAAAGTATCAATTATGATTTTGATTTTGATTATTAATATAAATTCATTAAAATAAAAATAAAAATAAAAAAACAACATACGTTTATCATCTTCTATTTTTAAAATTATGTTTTTTCCAAATTCATATATCATGCATACGATGACATAAACTGCGCAAAAAATTTATTTCAATGTCTATTGTTTCCGACCCATATCAATAACGATAACTTTTTTCGAACGACATTAATAATTCTCCAATGGGTATCTAAATGATTTTTCATCGCACAAATACGCACACGCGCTCTCTCTCTTTTTCTCTCTCTCCTCGAATAATCCTCTATATAGTTCTTTTTTTATATTTGTCGATTCATTTTTGGACTTATTCAAAAAAAATTTTTTCATTTTTTTTACTCGTTCGTTCGTTAGTCCACACAATCATTATTATCACCATGTATATAACGAGTGAATGAATGAATGAACATTAATATTATATAAACAAATATTTTTTTTTGCATTAACCAATCAATAAAAAATAATAAAACAATAAAAGATAAATCTGGAATTTCGTTCTATATATCCGAAACCCCAATATTAATATTAATATTATAATTAGTAATAACAAATAAACTTTATTCCGAACCGAAGATCTACATGTGTTACAAACTTTAATTTTAAAAATTTTTAGAATTAATATTAAAAAAAAAATCATTTAAAGACAATGTTTTAAGTATTTTGTGAGGCTGAATAATGAATAAATAAAAGGCTATACAAAACAAAATTTATTTTTAAATATTACATCAGCTTTACCCGCTTTAGATCCATTCATTGTTCTTATTACGAAGTTTTATAATAAAATTTCGTGTAGCAAATAAATCTTGCGTGTCACGAAAACCATGCATTTTTTAAAAAAAATGCAGGAGAAAAAATTTTGAATTTTAATCTTAAATAAATTGAAGCTCATTATAAATGTCCATTGTTACCGATCTTCAACACTTTAATTTATCTTCCTGAAATTAGTATGAAATAAATAGATAGTTAAGAATATTATCAATAAAGGTAATTAAGATGATTAAATGGAGATGATTACATTACGCATTTTAACGTTGTGTGTAATAATAAAAAAGATCTTCTATAATAAACAAATTCCCGTAATTATTATTATTATTATTATTATTATTTTTAAATCACAACTTAACAGTTAAATGTATTTTTTTTCGCTATCACGATAATATAAAAACGTACAGGGAAAATTCAATTAACTAGTTTGTAGTATATTAAAATTTAGTTGCAAACTTTAAAATAGTCATTCAAAATTAAGCTTAATTAACGTAATACTAGACTCTAATTAAAGTTACCTACAACGACGATAATAAGTCCTAAAATATACTTATAGTTTCAATAGACCCCTGTTTGTTTGTCGATTATTAATTTATATTAGTATAAAAATTACTAAAACTAGGTTTATAATAATTTTTATTGCTGCGTAAACTTAATTTATGAGCCACGTGATACTGTATCACATGACTAGATCTTTAAATAAATAAAATTTATACCAGAGAAACAAGAGATCTTTAGATTATCACATCTAAAAAATTTCAAGCACATCATTATGTGCAATTGTTAAAAAAAATCTCACGTCAAGATTTTTTTTTTCAAAGATAATCAATCTAAACTTTTTGTACAGGCCCAAACTCTCTATATTAAAGAATCATGCCAACTTTAAATAGAAATTCTGATCTGTGTGACCAATCATTTTTTTAAAATATCTCATTATAATTCATTAATAAAACTGTGCCATTGTGGCTTTCTAATGAATGTTATTTCATATCGGCGGAGGATTTCTATGTAAAACCAACCATATTTATTCAAAAACAGAATTACTTTTCACTTCAAAAATTAAATATTCTTCTCTAATATTACTTGAATGTAAGTAGGAGATCATCGGTAGTAATGACCTAAAAGAGATGAGTAATTTCTAAATGCGGTAATTTGGACAGATATTACGGGCATTTTTTCAACGAGACAGAATAGTTCTAACAATAGAGCCGTCAAACATTTGAATGTTCGAATCAAATATTCGTTGCCTTTTTAGTAGTAAAAGGCTTTTAATTTATAACAACCAATTCGATTTTTTGTGTAAAAACTTTTTCGTAAAGATATTGTAAAAGTATTTTGAGATAAGAATCCTAATATATTGTAGTTGGGTGGGTACATTGTTTTTATAAAGACTGGCGTTGACTTTCAGTTAAAGCTTAATTTTAGCTTGAAACTTTTCGAAGGGTTTGTTCAAAATTATGTTTGTCTACAAAGAATTTCAAACAACATAATAATAATGTTGTGTATTATCATATGTCGAAATTTCAGAGATTGTTATTTGTGTTTTTAAACAATTGAAAAAAAAATTTTTTTGAGGCAATAAATATTTGTCAAAGAAACTTTGGTAATTATTTTTAGAGAAACAAAATTTTTTGCATATACAATGAATGTGTTGCGAAAAAAATGGCTGTGACAACCACTAGTAATTGTTGAAATAATAATAAGCTATTTTTTGTATCCGTTGAATTTCGGGAATGATCGGTGGTACAGAATTAGAATATAAAAATTTTATTCGCGTAATGAAATTTTTTTTTAATACTGTTTTATCCACCATTACACCACCACTAACATTCTCTATTACAACAATATATTATATCAAGTAATATGATTACCCAACTGTGACATTATTAGCCAACAAATATTTGTGCATTGCAGCAACTTCTACTCCAAGTGTGCGTCTATTTAGCGAAGCTGGAAACACAACGACAGCCAAACGAACAAAATTGAATCCATTGTTATTTGAAAGAATTGCATTTCTTAAAAAAAAAATATATGCAATGTATTGAAAATATTTTTCTTGATGAATAAATAATTTATAATTGTTTTAAATAAATTTAAATCAACGGATATTCTCAATGGATATTCGTGAATGACCGATTATCCATATAATCAACGGATACATCCACTAACAATTACGCAAGATAATATAACAAAACCATATCCTATCGAATACTTATTAAATAAAATAAAAATTAATTTGACTATTGTCAATTTTGTAAAGCTGAATCACGTCTTTTCTTTAGACTTTACTAAATTTTTTGACATCCCAAACGTATTAATTATACAAAATTATATATATATATATATATATAAACTTCCAATTTGCAGATTTTCTAGAGCTTTATCAATTAAAAATAAAATAAATTCGATTATTTTTGGAAAAAGAAATTTAATATAATAATTACTCTAAAGATACATTAATATACGTAGCTCGAAATTTTTATATGTGATAGTTTAATATCTTCTTTAATACGATTTTTATTACTTTTTTTAGTTAGAATGCAAGCGCATATCAGCCAATTTGGTTTTTTTTCAAACCTTATATCTTATTGTGTCTCGACGTTGCATGATGTGTAAACTGGCCAATAGAATGATAATTAACCCCCAAAAAATTTATTTGCTCTGCTAAAAAAACAATTTTACTATTCGATAGCCCGTCAAAACAATGGCCACACCTCAAAACCAATGGGTTTTTGCTAGTATAAAGTATTCATAGCGTTATGATCATACAGTACTGGATTTTGGGGTTCAAACAAAATTAGCGCATATGGCCATTTTTCTCGCAACACGCTGCATGATTTTTAAGAGCTCAAGTTACAATATGATATTATTTATTGATTTTTTTATCCTGTATTGAGTGTGTATTTGATTCAAATCACAAAGTTGGTTCGAATCGTTGAAATGGTTCGGCAGTTCAGTTCGGTTCAAATCAAAAAATTTTCTAACCAGTTCGTACGTAAGCTCTAATTTACTATCATCTGGCTGGAGGAACTGACCGGTTTACAACTTAACAAGAGTTTATATATGTTATCCACTTGGGCCATATCTGACTTATCAAATTATCTATGTAGTAGTCAAATTTGATTTTAATAGTAATCGAAATTATATCTGAAATCATTTGAACTCTGATCAAGTTATTCTATATAAATATCCATGTTTCAAGGCCTTCTTGCCAAAAAACCAATATTTATTACGCAGATCATTTGAGAAAACCACCTTAAAAGACAATAATCTCCCACGACTGTACGTCTTTATTAATATCGTGACTCATGATTGCTTATTTCTTTTAATAGAATCGCGCGACCAAGTAAAGTGAAGACAGAGAAGCATAGTGTGATTTGTTGTAGTATAGTTGGCTTAGAATTTAAATTGTTACTATTTTTGGGGAGCGGCGGTTATGATAGTTCAAATTTACACATTATGAAAACGAAGCTTTAATATGTCCTTTATATTAACAGTTATGATAAAATATGATAAATAGATTAAAATATATTTTTGATAAAAATGTTTGCATGAATTTTCAGTGAATGTAAACTGTCATATTTATACATAACATTAAACTATTTTATTTGTCATTTACAGTTTTATAAATACATTAATAAAATTCTATATATGTAAATTGCTAACATTTATTAATATATATAAAATAACATAATATATGAATCTATTATAATTATATATAACAGTTATTTCTCATTTCTCTCAAAATAACTGTGAAAAAACGTAGTAGAATTGTTATTACTATTATTTATTCCACTATTATTACTATCAACGTTGTTGTTTGGGTTATAAAATAAAATATTATCCATATTCGTGATAAATTGAGGTTGATAAATTTGTTGTAGTTGTTGTTGTTGTTGTTGTCCTTCTTCTAGAACATTTATTTGATTGTTGTTATTATTATCATTACTATTATTTATTGTGTCATGTGGTTCTAATGATGACGAAGATGAAGATTCCAATGATAATTCTGATTGATTTGTTGAAAAATTTGAAATGTGATTTTTTCTTTTCGAATTAAATGTTTGATTTACGTCATTTAATCGAGCAAAAGAAAAATTACTATTATTATAATCATTGTTATTATTATAATAATTGCTATTATTATTATTATTATTATTATCATTGTTATTAATATTATTATTATAATCATTGCTATTATTATAATCACTGGTACTACTATAGTCATTGCTACTATTATAACCATTGCTACTATCATAATCATTGCTACTATTGTTACTATTAATATTAGTATTATTTATATTAATGTTAACATTTTTATCATTTATTATTTTTTGATTACCATTATTGTTATTATCATTGTTATTGGAACGTTTGTCAAAAGAAACCAAATTCCAAACTTCCCTTTTTTTACGACGATTTTTCCCATCTTTTTTAGGAAACATCTCATTAAACCTATTATACGCCTCTCTTGATAATCGTTTATATTCTTCTTTAACAACATCCGTCTCATTTTCCCACGAATGTGATGCCATTGACGAAATCACCGTCATTGGTAATCGATGTCCTTCGCTTTTTACCGCTTCAACGAAAACTTTTCGATAAATTATGAACGCGTTAGGCGCTCTTAACGGCACATGACTGTTATTTCTGGCACTTGATTTTTTTTTACTGTTTAGAATCAATTGTTGTGGATCGATTAACGGCGGGAATGGTAATTTGACAAATGGTTTACTGCTTTCCATGTTTATGACTTGATTCGGTAATAATGGATTGCTTGAATCTATAAATACTCGTGTGCGCGTAGAATTGGATATTGATGATGAAATTTGGTCGGTCATTTTTTTTTATTTTTATTAAAAAATGTTTGAATCAAAAAAAATTTAAACCAAACTTCTTCCATATTTATAAAGATTAATATTTAAAATGTTTTGATGTTACCATCGCTCTTCCGAGGGTTTTTTTAAATATAGAATTAAATTACTAATCAGTATATCTGAAGAGTGATACCTATCGCTTCTAAATTTAGTAAAAATTTGTCCCACTATTGATTTTACAAAAATGGAAATTTATTCTATCATTTAAATAATGTATTTTTAGAAATTCAGTCAAATCTTACAATTCAATTTCTCTGATAATGCTGTTCTCTTTAAAGAAATCTCTTAATTTTGCATTGTAATAATAAATTAAAATAAATAGTTCATAAAAATATAATAAAGCATTAATCGGTGATTAATTTATTTTCCATTGAATTCCAAAATTGAAGAATCATCAATACCACGTCGTTTTATAATAATTGGAAATGGATATTCCTCCTCCTCCTCCTCCTCCTCTCCCTCATCCCCTTCCTTCCCCTCCCCTTCTTCTGTTGATCTCGGCTTTCTAAAACTAAAATTTGTTATTCCATCTGTAATATCATCAACATCAACTAAATTGCTACCACGAATTCTTGGTGATCCTGGTGCTGATAATGGTTTTGGAATTTTGGTTTTGTAATGTTGAAAATCACTTAGTTCCGAGCCAGCAAATGAATCGGGATATGCCCTATGTAATGCTAAATTTCTAGCTCTTACATATTCCATTCCCATCAGTTTCCAATCCAAAATATCTGATAATCGTTCGGTTCGATTACGTTGATTGATGCGTTGACGTCTTGTTTTTTGACAGAATTCTAACATGTTGTCAGCTAGCTGTTGAACTGATTCCTCTACAGATTTCATCCTTCTATCTACAATATAAATACCATAGTCGGACGAATTTTCAAGTATTTCCTCCATAAAACAACCAAACCCTGATAGGTTGGTTGTGATGGATGGTACACCCATTACTGTGCATTCGGCTGGAGTATATCCCCATGGTTCATAATAACTGGCAAATACTCCAAGATGACAACCACGTACAAAATCCTCATAATCTAATCCAAACAATGGATTGTTTGAATTTATAAATTCTGGATGAAAAACAATTTTAACACGATCTGATGGATGATTAAATAATTGAACACGACGAAGATGAATCAAAATAGGATCATTAATATCATCTGACATATTATGAGTTACTATCGGAGGAAGAGTGCAACGTTTAAGCGCAATCACACGACGTTTTAAAAGAACTCTATCTTCGTTGGTGAGCAATTCTTTTGGATCAATCACTGCTTCATTTATATCCCCTCTACCAAAAAAAAAAAAAAAAAAAAAAAAAGAATCAGATATGACACTTATAAATACATATACACCATTACGTACATACGTACATACATACATTAATATATGTATGTTGTGACCTACCCTGCATAACGAGCTGCTTTTTCAAATATTCTTTGACCAATTTTATCAGTAATATCTTTTACTGTTTCATTTAATTGTTTCGTGACAGCTTGTCCTTTCAACGATTCGACTGTAAATGAATGTGTTGCAGCAGGCATTATAAGAAATGCAACAACAGTCATAGGTGAATTACTTGCTTTTAGACGAGAGTTAAGTCCTTTTCAAAAATTATTTTGATATTATTTAATAAGCATTATAATTATAATTGATTGATCAATCAACCAACCATCCAACCAACCAATAGAATTGATTTGATACTTACGAGCTAATGATTCAATAAACATGTCAACACCTTTATTTCTATATTCATAACGACCAGCTGTGAAAAAATAGAGCGTATTATCTAAATCAAAATCAAAATGTCCATAAAAATGTCCTCTAACAAAATTATGAATTCTTTCTTTATTCAATGCATGTAAATTTTGAAATTCATGCATTGCAGAAAATTTAACAATATTTAATCCATTTGGAAGAACTCCATCTAAATAAATAAAATAAATTATTATTTTTTTTTTTAATTAAAAAGAAAATAATATCATCATCCTATTAACCAATCATCTATATAGTTAATTACCTGGCCTCCTTTTTAATAAATTTTCAGCTTCATAAGCAGTAATTTGACTGACAGTGGTAAAAACATCAGCACAATGTGAAGCACCACGTTCAATACAATAACGATGATATATTCCACGCTTTCCAGCTTCTTCATCTACCATAAAATTATTTATATTATTGTAGAAGTCAACAGAACCAGCGCATAGATATCGACCCAACAAAGTTGCGTGTGTTGTGAAAATTGTTGTTAAATCTGTTCGTCGTTTGCGAAACAAAGTTACTGCAACACCAGCTAACCATTCATGAAAATGCGCTATCACAGCTTTGGTTCTTTCACGAGCTACAAACTAATAGATATATATGATTTTGTCGTTTAAAGAATTTGTTAACCCAAGATCGACGCTAAGTAATTCAAATGTATATAAATTCTTTATATAACAAATATATTATAAATAATATATATATTATTTATTTCCATATTTATTAATATAGATAGATAGATGATGATGATGATGATGATGATGATTATTATTATTATTATTACTTACATCACCCAAAAACCATGCAACAAGATATCCAAACAGTATAGCATTATTAGTTTCTTGATCGTTAGGTGGAGAAGGAATTCCAGCAACATTCCATAAATCACCCTTCCATGAATCAAGTCTATCAGCAACTGAACCTGTATCAAGTAGCAGCACACGAGGAGAACCTTCGATCAACCAACGACCATACATCCATCTAACATTTTGTCTTGTCATCTCATCAAGAATCTCTTTGATATAAGGATTAGTAACTTCCTCTATTTCAACTTCTGCAACAGCATATGCTTGTATCAATGGACCAATTAAAGTGTATCTGTCACCATATTCATGGACTGTAACGGGAGCTTTTGATTTTAAAACAGTGTAAATTCCACCCACTATTTTGATTTTTACACAAAAAAAAAAAAAAAAAATATGAATTAAATAATAAAATTTACATTATCTATATACAGAATAATAAAATCTACCTTTATTTGCAACTTCCCATGCTATTTCAAACAAAATAGGATTATGAACGTCTCGATAAACCATTTTTTTTAATAATTTGTTTTGTTTTTATTTATCAATATTAAATGTACTTTATATTTGAAATTGAAAAATAATAAAAAAATTCAAAAAATCAATTCATTTTTATTTTATATCAATATTTAAAAAACCAGACTTAATTGTGACTAGTTTATTGAAAGAAATTAGAAGTTAGACTAATTTCCAAATTAATATATTTACAGAAATTGACGTCAATAATTACGAAATGATGACATAATTACATACAAAAATTAACTAACACCCATAAATTAATTATATATATATATATAAAGTTAGCAGGAAGGAGAGGAAAATTAAAAATACAAATACAAATTCTCGCACGTGTATATATTACAATGGTTTTAAAGATTTTTTAGTTGCCCAAAATCTATAACTTTTATCGTAAGATTGATTTTTTTCTAATTCATCCATGCAGATATCAATTAACGAATTGTAATTTCCACCTTCAAAATCAATACTTGACACTGCATCACCTAAATTTGTGGCACCCCATTTTACAATCTGTTTAGATAACATTTATTATTATTATATTATATATTATTATAAGCAAAATATTAATTATTATATTAATAATTAATTACCTTGGCGTAAGCTTCACCCAATTTTCCACCAAAGGAACCGAGAGGAGCTTCTCTCGCATCAAATGAAATCTTTCTCAATTGTCTAGTCGCTTTCAAATATCCTAATATATGTGGCGTTATAATAAGATCGATATCTTTTTCTTTTTTAAAACGATCAACCACTACCCAAAGATAAAAAGATAAATTGGTTATTATAAAACAGACAGACAGAACAACGACGATGACGACGACAACGACGACGACGACAATAACAACAAAAATTACCTGCTGTCCTCCATTTTTTTACTAAATTTCCTTCGTTATACCAAAAAATATCTCTTTCCATAATTTCCAAGAATCCTGATGGCTTACACACTCTGATTAATTCTTTGATTGCTTTTTTCCAATCTTCCGATGTGAAAGCAAACATCATAAATCGCATATATACAAAATCAAAAGAATTATCTTCAAACGGTAAGCGGTCAATAACATTTGCTTGACAGAATTTAGTATTACTAGGTCTAATGTGTTCAGGATACGTTGAAACTATATCAACTCCCATAAAATTTGAATTTGGATACTGGTTTGCCATTTCGAGTACCCAAACTCCTGGTCCTATTGTACGAAGAAGGAACGAAAACAAAAATTTATTATTTTAAAACAAATAATTAAATAATTAATTTTAATACTAAATAAGGCTCTTACCGCATCTATTTCACGAACGAACGAGTGAATATGATAAAGAATAGTAAGAACAAATTATGTGAATAAAAAATTGATTGATTGATTGATTAATTGATTGATTGATTGATTGATTGATTGATTGAATATTAACATTAAACTATTACTTACCCAACATCTAAAACTTTGCAACCTTCCTTTAATTTAGATTCTATTGGAGCGGAAAAATTATTTTTCCAAATATTTTGAAATACGTAATGTTGTACGGTCAACCTATCAATTTCGTCGTTGTCGCATGGAAAAACGTAATTAGAAAAATAGGGGTTCCCATTACAACAACCAAAACTCTCGCACACATCGTTATGTGGTATAAACGAAAAATTTGAAAGGCTTCTCTTTCTTTTGTGTGTTCTACTATTAATAGTTCCAGAGTTATTATTATTATTATTATTATTATTATTATTATTGGCACAAACTGTGCTTTTCGAATGTGCTTTTCCCATTTTTTTTTTGTTTTGTTATATTATTATTATTATTATATATATATATATATTCTCTTGTTTTTTTTTTATTAGTAATTTTTGGTAAATATTTTAGATTGGGAAGAGAAAACAATTGAAAATTTTTAAAAACAAATTGTTAAAAAAAAAGGTTGTGAAAGACGTATGTCTTTATATACAAAATTGCTTCGTCCATCCAACTCATTAATTTGTCCATTTTCGCTTATTAATGTTACTAAAAATGAAATAAATCGAAATTTTCCGCGAAATAATACATAGAATGATCAACTCATAATTTTTACTCCAATAAACAATACACATTCTATTCATCCATCATCCATTCACCCCACCATTTAATACTTGGGGGTAAATGACAATGAAGTTAGGAAAAGACTGTGATCGTTTCTTATTAGCTCATGATTTTTTAACGAAATCAGTAAAAGGCTCCAACAAAAATTACATTGTTACCAATATAAATAAGTGGTTATCTATTATTACTTTGGTTTCTCCACAAAATTTGCTTCCTAATTTAATTTTAATTGCTTTTTGTTTATTCTCCACTTATTCAAGATTTACGCAATTTCGTTCATTCATCTATTTAAGTATAACATATGTTGAGAAATGAATATCCCATGTAAAAAAAAAATCTTGGCGATCAATTTTTTAATTTTTTCCCTTGGTAAGGGAGGAGAAAATTAACTTTTAACTCATGTGATACCTTAAAAAAATATTGTGATGCCGCAGATTTTGAAATTGAAAATCAAAAAAGGTAATACGGAGAATTCATTGAAACAATTACACTATAATAATAAATATTATACTATTACTATAAATATTTGGTTGGATCGGATGTTAAATTAATTATCCAGTTAATTTTATTTTCACGCACGTGAAATTAAGTAGCCAGTCGAAAGCAAATTAATAAATTTCGGCAATATGCTCAAAATATGCTACTATGAAATTGTTCGCCATTTCAGATTTAGTAATGATCGATCATTTATTGTTGTTTTTTAATATTAAATATTATGTAATTTCGTATCACTCGGGATTTTCCATGCTAAGATGAATTTATTTTTTTTTTGGAGTAAAAAATTACAAAAAAAAATAATTTTTTATACATAAATTTTTTTTATTTTTTGTAATGGTCACATGACCAGAGAGTTTTATAAGTTTATTATTTACAAGTTTCTAATGTATAATAATTATTCCACACATTCTATCCAATCAATTTCACAAATTGGTAAATTAAATTTTTCATCGTCGTCCTCATCATTCACATCAATCCTTGTATCCTCCTCACCTTCTTCATCAACAACTTCATCACCAGAATATTCATATTTAGGAGATGTTTCAACAACGTTATCTTCATTTTCTGTAATCATTATGCTACCTTTTCTTCCTTTGATTGTTGTAAGAATATTTTTTACATAATTTAAATTCACATTTTCTTCAAAATTTTTATTATTTATATTTATATCGTCCATTGCTATAAAGTTTGAAACATCTGAATTCTTTCTTTTTGATTTTTTTTCATAAATTCTATTAAACATTTTTTTGCCAACCAAGACCGTATGATTATTATAATTATCATCACTATTATTACTATGAGGATTGGATTTTCTTAAAGTAACTATGCTTTCATTAATTGAGATTTGATAAACAGGCGTTGGAAATTCTATTCCATTGGAACCAGAATTTATTACCATATTTTCATTTTTGAGTTGATGATTAATGTTCTCAACTGGTAAATTTCCTCCTGTATTATCACCATTACTATTGTTAAAAGGTTTAACATGATTTCTTTTTTTCTTGAATATAAATGCTAATATACAAATTGTTATTATTATAAAGACTAACATTGTTGAAATAATTATCGCTACGATTGAAGTTGCTTTGATTGAATTCTGATTATTGTTATTACTATTATTTGAAAAGGTTGAAGTGCTTTGCACTGTTTCCTCTAGTAACGATGCTGAAGAAAAAGATGATGAGTATGATGGTGACAAAGTGGTTGTATCAATAGTTTGTAAACTTGTTGATATTTCACTATCATCATGATCGTTATTATTATTATCATCATCATCATTATTACCATCATGAAATTTAAAATCTCTAGAATCTAAAATATCTCTTTGATTTAATTTATTATGTTGCGGATTCGTTAATGATGCCGATGAAGAAATTGACGGAGAATAAGATGCTGATAATGATGAAGTTAATAAATTGTTTATATTATTATTATAATCATTATTATATATATTATTGTCTATATTGTCTATATTGTCATTTTCTTCAATTTTTAAATAATTCAACAACATTAGAGAAAAAGAAAACTTTTTTTTTAAAAGCCAAAATAAAACCTGTTTAATTGTTTTTTAATTTTTAAGAAAGAAGTTTTTTTTCTTTTCATAATAATAATAAACCAAATTTGAAAAATCATATAAATTTAAAAAATTACACAAAACTAATTCCATTTGGAAACTTGTTGATTGACAATATACTAATTTGCTTTCAATAATTAAAAATTCATTATCGTTTATAAATTTATGTAAAACAATAACGAAGATTCATTATTTTTTTTTTTTGTTCACCAAATTAGATCAACATGCATTTAAAGAATATTGTTATCAACATTATTATTATTATTATTATTATCTTTCAATTTTTCCTGCATGGTTACACAAAATCGATTGTTATGTATGAAAATACCCTGGTTTATAAATGAAAGGTATGAAATATTGGACGTTATTATAAATTAATAAATGAATGGACGCCACTGCGGAGACGAGAGAATTATTAATTGATTTAAAATGCAAGTTTACTTTCAAGCCAAAGCTTTGGAGTAATCAATCTTTATTATAAACCAAAACCCAGAATATAATCAAAAGGTAATAAAAGGTAAATATTAACTAATCGTGCAAAATTTTTTGATTTTGAGCATTGCATCTGCGTTAAACATGTATGATTGCACACTAGCTACGCAGTGCACCTCCCCACCTTCCACATTATTTGACTGAGATTTTATTTCTTCAAGGATGTCTTGTTTTAGTTCCTTTATTTCTTTTTTAATTAATACATCGGCCAATAAGTTTTGTGAAGATTCTTTTTCTTCTTTATATTTTTTTGCATTCATGTAATCATTAATTCCTACGCAAATCTCATCCCAATGATCCATTTTGTAAATTTTTTGACAATGAGTGTTCAAATGATTCAATAATACTTCTCTTGATTTTTTTCTGTCTGCTTGATCAATTTCTCGTCTTTTTTTACTGCCGCTTAACGGGGGATTGTTCACATATATGATTCCATTACAGCGACTAATCAAATCAGCGATTTTTTTATTCTCTTTTTTTAAATCGTCTATATCTTCTTTACATTTTTCAGGTTCCTCGAAACAGTCAAATTTGCTTCTCACAATAGTCGTGTATTTAATAATTTTTTTTTCAAAAATCTTCTCGGCCAATTCAAAAAGTTCTATTTCTTCTTCGGTAAATTTTCCTCCCACTACCACAAATACTTGTTTTATCCCTCTTTTCATTGAGTAAATAGCCTCTGCCAATTTGATTATGACTTTCTTGGGTGATAAATTAGTATCACCAAGTCCGATAGTATCAATCACTCGATATTCACTTTTTTTCCATTCAAAATCTTTGATTTGGAAATTTTTAGTTTTGCTAATCGAGCCACTGCTTTCTCCGAATTCATTAGCATTGCTGATTACATTAGCCAAAGAAGATTTGCCACTGCCTGTCCTTCCAATTATTAATATGTTATTTTCCATATCATCCTCGTACGTTTCAAATTTGTATTTGCATTCGTATATTTCTCGGTTATTATTATCTTGAATTTCTTTGGCTTTATTCTCAACATCTTCCTTTGTTCGATAAAACTCCACCAAGTTTGGAAATCTTTTAACCGCTAATATTTCTACTCCATATTCACCTTCGTCTTTATAATTGATTAACCTAATTGCATATAAGCGAGATATTTTATTAATAACTATCGCGTAAGGTTTTTTATCGTAGGAAAAATGAATGACATTCTTAATTTTGCCACGAATATTGGCATTTCTAATTATTTCTTTGTCTATTTCTGTTGGTTTAAACTTGGACATCGTATTATTATTATTATTATTATTATTATTAATACTATAGGACAAATTTCAAAACTGACAATTTGCTTTCGAGATTGATACTGCCCGGCTGTTTGATTAGTTTAAAACTTGCAAGAGCGAAAATGGGTCAAAGAGGGGCTTCGGTTGGCTTGGTAGCTTCTCGTAGGAAATAATTTTATCAAAATGATAATAATAATAAGCAAATGGCAATTTCCATTATTATTATTATTTATATTGATTTTGGTTACATTAAAAATAACCGTGTAACTAGAATTGCTTGTTTTTGAAATGAAAAAAAAGAATTCGACATTTTTATTTTGTTTTTTTTTTCCATCCATAAAAGGCACCAGCGCAATACTTTTTTTGTTTGCTATTTTATTTTATTTAATAATATGCGTGCCAATTAAATCAGTGTTGTACATGGGACATGTCCGCCTAATACTGAGGACACTGTCCAAAAATGTCCGCGTCCGCTGACAACACTGAATTAAATGCTCGGTAGCGACCTTTTGGAGTGTGGTAGATGTGCCCAATCCGACATAGGAGGATTTTTTTGTTGTTGTTGTTGTTGCTTCTTGAGTAGTCAAGAAGTCAATTGTGTAAAGGTCTATATATGACAAGTCTTTAATTGTAAAGTTGTTGGTGGATTCATCCAGCCAAAATTTGAGTTTATGAAAAAGGAGCGTTAAATAGAAGTTTTTTTGTGAGCTGCGCCGTGGTGAGAAAAAATTTTGGGAAAAATTTTTTTTTAAAAAAAAGCAAGATGATGATGATGATGATAGCATATATATAAATATCCGACCACCTGATGATCATTTTAATGTTACACCTTATGCAGTTCAAAATTTTATTAATCAAACGAGTTTGAATATAGGATGAAAATTTTTAAATTAGGCAAAAAATCCCGTGATTTTTATGAAAACTTTGAGCTTAGTACAAACCTTCAAAACTCTGTTGAATCATGGATTACGTCATTAAGTAAGTCCACTTAAAATACCTTGAATTATATATGGTTAAAATTTGAGAAAATTTGATCTAGACAACAAAACGTAAAGCCTTAAAATTTGCATTTTGTCAACTTTATTAAGTGCTTTATATGATAAAATTACGGGG